CCCCCCTCCTTCCCCCAGCACCTACATTATGCTAACTATAGTTAGCATAATGTAGTTAGCATAATTTTGTTCCTTTCAAGTACGTCTTGAAAGGAACAAAATAGGGTCAGTCCTGTTTTATTAAGGGAGCTGCATTTTTTTAAACTTTTTCTCACCTTGTATTCAGTGACTCTGAAGAAAAAAAAATCAGCTTGTAAAAGAAAAATACTTATACTTACTAGTCGTGAAGACGGTGAATAGAATCTTGGCTCACTTGCAGAGAATGCAATACAATCTGCATCTGACACTTCTGGATATGTTGGATGCCTATGTATCCCACTACGCGTTGCGGTTCTACCCGATGGCTGCTACATTGTTAGGCCCAATACCCACTTGAGCTGAATGGGTGTTTTTTTTAACTTGTTTTGAGTGTTTGTACAAGCAATTTGGCCAGCGTTTCAAGCTTTAGCAGTTTATTTTATTTTTAGCCAATCCAAAGCTAGTTAATATGCAAACAATGCTTGGAATACACAGGTTATGTGCTCCCATTAAAGTCTATTGGGGCCAAAGCGTGTGACTCTGTTCCAAAACGAGCTGATTTCGTTTTGCAAGCTACTGGCATGTAACAATATGATTCCTCCTGTTGGGCGCTGTAGTGCTGTAAAACTCTCAGGTGTGAATGGGGTCTTAGTGTGTCCATGCAGCTCTGAATTAGCAAACCAGTGATGTAGCAGCCAGTAGGTGGAAGCACAGCACACAGCGGGGTACACAGGCAATGTCAGATGCTGAAGTTTCCAGCCGCTCATGCAGCTCTGCAAGAAAGCGAAGATTCCATTCACTGGTGTTAGGAATGGTAAGTATTAGTATTGTTTTTATACAGAATGGATTTTTTTTTTTCATCTAGAGACTGAGTATCTTAAAGAAGAAAAGTGGTAAAAACCTAACCATATGAATATAATCTACATGTACCTGATGTTTTGAGGCTTGGAGACCCTAAAACCAGGGTTTGGGGTCTGATAAGACTTTGTACTGCTTTACAAAGTAGAACTAAAGTGTCCTTTCTGAAAGGTTGTTTTTCTGAAATTGCATTAAGACTGAATACTAGTAAAGCAGAAACACCGCTGTTCACACAGCCTAGTATTAAACAACAGTTGTTTTCTAATGTGCAATTCATCTACAAACAAAGATCTTGCTTTTATTAACAGCTCATTAAGGCAGTAAGTCAGCTGATTGCAGATGCAGGCATTGGGGGCTCTCGATTTCAACACTCTTTGGCAATTATCAACAACTTTGCTAATGGAGACAAGCAGATGAAGGTAACATGATAAAACTCTTGGATTTGGTTAAAAAAAAAAAGTGAAATACAGTAAAAAATGTTTTGTATATCAGATTTATGTTGTATGAATGACAGACAAATTAATAAAGGATTACTCCTTGCTAAATGAAACCTGGATCTCTTCTGGGACCAATGCCATTGCTGTGCCTTTAGACTTGTGACTTCCTAATCTGACAAATATAATAGCTATTTACAAAGGCTGGTATGCCTCAATGGATGGACTTAGATCACTCTTTAAATGTAAGTGGTCCTAGAAGTTAAGTTTAATACACGCAGGTTGTAGTTGCACAGTTGTTCCCTTCGTCTAGTAGATGGGGG